ATACATTTTTTTATATATTTTGGTATATATATATCTATATCTATCTATATATATATATATATATATATATATATATATGTGGAATTGAATTTTACATACACTGTAAAACAGATTTTTCACAAAGCTGTAAATAAAACAAAAAAGAGATTATTGGAATAGTTTTTAATTTTTTGTACATAAAATACTATAGGCTTTTTCAGTCTTTCTACTTCAAAATGTCAGATTCAGTCCAATGTGTTACTTGCTGTTTCATAACTATTTGTGAAATGAATTTGTGAAACTAGCCATTTCTGAGTAAAAAAATTGTTTCAAAGTACTTTTTTCCCCAATGTAAAATATTACATTACTTAGATACTTACATTACTTATTACATTATATTACTAGTCATTCTTTTAATAGCATTACTGTATGATAGCGGAAGTTAAAAGCGAGCTCTATTTTTAAATGTACTGTTTTATTGTGACAACACTAAAAGTAGTAACCAGTATTTTAAAGAAATTATGATTACAATGGTATATTTTGCTAAGGCGGCATCCACATTGCGTTTGTTTGTTATTAATTTGCTGCTTGCTGTATTTATGAAGAGCGGTTTTGATGACGTTTGACAAGCAACCAATCAAAAGTCTGCGCTAAGGGCTTATGTCCTGAAGACACGCCCACCGTAATAAACAGCCGTTCCGTACGTCCCTGAAGACACGCCCACCACGCGTGGTCAGCTGTCAAGACTCAAGATTGTTTACGTTACTCGTTAGTTTTTTTTTACTGACAAACAAACAGAAAGCGACAGTCGCGGTGTGAAAAACTCTCAAATGTACGCAAACTGGACTAGCAGTACTGTATTTGTCTTCCAAGAACAGCTCTTCTTCAAGAGCTCGACGTTAGCTGCAGTTGGAATTGAATTTTACATACACTGTAAAACAGATTTTTCACAAAGCTGTAAATAAAACAAAAAAGAGATTATTGGAATAGTTTTTAATTTTTTGTACATAAAATACTATAGGCTTTTTCAGTCTTTCTACTTCAAAATGTCAGATTCAGTCCAATGTGTTACTTGCTGTTTCATAACTATTTGTGAAATGAATTTGTGAAACTAGCCATTTCTGAGTAAAAAAATTGTTTCAAAGTACTTTTTTCCCCAATGTAAAATATTACATTACTTAGATACTTACATTACTTATTACATTATATTACTAGTCATTCTTTTAATAGCATTACTGTATGATAGCGGAAGTTAAAAGCGAGCTCTATTTTTAAATGTACTGTTTTATTGTGACAACACTAAAAGTAGTAACCAGTATTTTAAAGAAATTATGATTACAATGGTATATTTTGCTAAGGCGGCATCCACATTGCGTTTGTTTGTTATTAATTTGCTGCTTGCTGTATTTATGAAGAGCGGTTTTGATGACGTTTGACAAGCAACCAATCAAAAGTCTGCGCTAAGGGCTTATGTCCTGAAGACACGCCCACCGTAATAAACAGCCGTTCCGTACGTCCCTGAAGACACGCCCACCACGCGTGGTCAGCTGTCAAGACTCAAGATTGTTTACGTTACTCGTTAGTTTTTTTTTACTGACAAACAAACAGAAAGCGACAGTCGCGGTGTGAAAAACTCTCAAATGTACGCAAACTGGACTAGCAGTACTGTATTTGTCTTCCAAGAACAGCTCTTCTTCAAGAGCTCGACGTTAGCTGCAGTAATAAGATTATTCCTTTAGAAGAGAAAAGCTGGCCCACATGCTTTAGACAAGCCAGCTGAACACTGTCACCTGCTGCATCACGTTTATAATGGTGAGTTACTTTATATTCTGTTCACTAACAAACTACATGGCGTGCAAGAGATAAAGTGATCTAAATACTACTTTACTTTGGGCAAGTTTGAGCTCTGATTGAACTTATTATAAGAAAGGGAATTTTGCATGCATTTATTACGTGTAATCTTTCAGTTCCTCTTACAGTGTTTTACAACTGTGCAGACTATACCACAGTAAATACAGTAACCCCAAAAGTGCCAAATACCTAAATCATATTTCCAAATGTACAGTTGACATGCAATTTATATATATATATATATATATATTAGATAGACAGATATGTATATGTTGATATGTATATTTCAATATATACAAAAATGTCTAAAAAAATATTTGCTGAAATATGTTTTAAAATATATTTACATAAATCTATTTTATACATTTTCCACCTTTTCACCTTCTCTTTTATAGGTTTTGCCCATTTGTTGTATATTTTTGAAAATATATTTAATATATTAAGCATTTAAAAATATATGTTTTGCCCATCATATATTTATTTCCATGAAAATACATTAACATTTGTTGTCTGTAACATGTCAAGCATATGACACATTTGAATAAAAATAAATAAAGCCTAAATGTAGGCTAATGTAAAATTGGAAATGTATTTTCTTGACCCTGAAATGCATTTATAAATATATTTTGGTGTACAAAGGTTCAAAGTAAATATATTTTCACTTTCAAAAATATATTAGTGCTGTCAAACGATTAATCGCATCCAAATTAAAAGTTTTTGTTCACATAGTATATGTATGTGTACTGTGTATATATGTTATGTATATATATAAACACACACATGCATGTATACATTTAAGAAAAATATGTTACATTTATATATTAAATATATTTATTTATAATATAAATTATATGATTATAAATATATACATGTAAATGCATTTAAATATTTTCTAAATATATACTGTATGAGTGTGTATTATTTACATATATATAATAAATATACACAGTACACACATATATATTATGGAAACAGAAACTTTTTGGGGGGGGGATGCGATTAATCGCGATTAATCATATGACAGCACTAATATATATTTCATTAAGCTTCACAGTTCACAACATATATTTTGCGTTTATTTAAAATACATTTTGGCCAGGATAGATGATAGATAGATAGATGATAGATAGATGATAGATAGATAGATGATAATATTTATTTTTTATTTATGTATTTTATTTATTATATTATATATTATATCAGCATATTGATTTTGTTTCAGGATGAAGAAAGTCCTTCCTCCCTGACAGACATGAGCATGGCCTGGGTGTGTCACAACGTGGAAGTGCTTTGTGTTGCACAAGAGGACGGGTCACTGCACTTCCGCCACTGCCCTGTGTTTCCTCAAGAGCTGGCCGATCAGCTACTGCACAGAATGGCTGATGAGGGTACGATTGCTCGCTATAACCCGTTTAGTTGCATGCAAGATCTGTTACATGATGTTCTGATCTGTTCCTCTCAGGTGTCCTCAATGACAGAACCGTAGGCATCTTCCAGAATCTGGAGCACCTGCGTTTGCGCCGCGCGTTCATCCAGTCCTCGCAGCTCTCAGCCGAGGCCTTCAGACTTTCGCTCTGCCCTCACAAGCTCCAAGAGCTCAATGCTTCACATATACACAGCAGCATCACGATCTCAGATGTTCTCCGCAGTCTCGCCTCCAACAAGCTCTGCAGACAGTGCCTCCAGACACTGCTGATGGACGGCTTGCGTCTGTACGGGGAAGCAGGGGAGGAGTCGCTGCAGGCCTCCTTTAACATGCTCCGGGGCTTGAAGAAGCTCTCGCTGGCCTGGACGGACCTGGATGACAGAGGTCTGGAGGATATCTGTGCCATTCCCATGCTGGAGAGCTTGGATGTCTCTGGCACGAACATCACGGATCTCACACCTCTGTTGAATTGTCAGTCACGGCTTCTGTCGCTGACTGCGCATGGGCTTCAGAAGTTGGAGATGCCAACCTCCAGCTTCATCTTAGTGCTCTCCAAGCTGCACCTGCTGAGGCACCTGGACATCTCTAATGACAGGCTGGTAATGGACAGAGACAATTTGGTGCAGCAGCTGCTAGAGCGCCCGGGGATCCTTCCGCAGCTCGTGTCGCTGGATGTGTCGGGCTGGAGAGGTGCGAGCGACGCTGCCATCCACCTGGATGACAGAGGTCTGGGGGATATCTGTGCCATTCCCATGCTGGAGAGCTTGGATGTCTCTGGCACGAACATCACGGATCTCACACCTCTGTTGAATTGTCAGTCACGGCTTCTGTCGCTGACTGCGCATGGGCTTCAGAAGTTGGAGATGCCAACCTCCAGCTTCATCTTAGTGCTCTCCAAGCTGCACCTGCTGAGGCACCTGGACATCTCTAATGACAGGCTGGTAAGGGACAGAGACAATTTGGTGCAGCAGCTGCTAGAGCGCCCGGGGATCCTTCCGCAGCTCGTGTCGCTGGATGTGTCGGGCTGGAGAGGTGTGAGCGACGCTGCCATCCAAGCCTCTGTGGAGGATCGGCCAGGACTGAGGTTCATCGGCCTGCTGGGCACTGCTGCAGGAGGCTCCGAGCTGCTGCGTGGAGATGGACATCTGAAGGTAAGAGTTTTCTTTCACACTCACTGACTGAAAATCAGGGGTCATGAATTGAGAAATCGAATTTTCCCTGATCTTTTGATATAAGAGGTCATTTGTAAGTTTTCAGCTTTCATTGCTGGGCTTCGGACTGCGCCTAAAATGATTGCATTTGCAACCAAAAACATTAAGTTGCGAATGATATTTTGCTGAGATATAGATTTACGTGTTATGATTTCAAAATTTGCATGTAACAGGGTTTCTGCGGGTCTTAAAATGTATTAATTCGCCCTTCCACAAATTAAGGCCTAAAAAAGTCTTAAATCAGAGCAGAAAGCCTTAAATTCATGAAAATGAATCTCTTCCTTCCTCTTTTTGTTTTCTAGTTCAAATATCTAAACATCCTTAAATCAAGATACTTTTATTTGAGATGTAAATTGAACATATGAAGTCTTGTTTTTAAGAGAAACTGATCAAAATTAAGTGAGTTTATGCTTAAAACAAGAACAAACATCTGTCAATGCCGAATGAAAACTTGTTTTCCCTTTGAATTAAGTCGATTTTTCGAAGCCCATTGGCAGATATTTGTTCTTCTTTTAATCATAAACTCACTTTTTTTTAAATTAATTTCTCTTAAAAACAAGACTTCTTATCTTATGTCATTTTGCTTTTCAAGTAAATGCATCTTGATTTAAGAATCTTTTGCACTGGAAAACAAGGCTTTTTAATTTTTTATGTATTTATTTATTTTGTGAAATGAATAAAAAATAATGGAGATCTATTGGAAGTTGTATGTTCAAACTTTGTTGCTTATACAAGACATTTACATTTAGAGACTATATTGGCGTATTGTGTTCCATTCAATTTATTCCTTAAATTTTCTTCTTAAAATTTTCTTCTTAAAAATGTACCTCCATAAAACCTGCAGAAACCCTAATGTAATGTCTTTTTACCTGCGTTTTCTGTGAGGGAGCAGCCAATCACATCATTTGTAACCCTGGACCACAAAACCAGTCATAAGGGTCCATTTTTTTTAAAATTTAGATTTATACACCATCTCAAAGCTGAATAAATAAGCTTTCCATTGATGTATGGTTTGTTATGATTGGACGAGATACAACTATTTGAAAATATGGAATCTGAGGGTGCAAAAAAATCAAAATATTGAGAAAATCATCTTTAAAGTTGTCCAGATGAAGTTCTTAGCAATGCATAGTACTAATCAAAAATTAAGTTTTGATATATTTACGGTAGGAAATTTACTAAATATCTTTATGGAACATGATCTTTACTTAATATCCTAATGATTTTTGGCATAAAAGAAAAATCAGTAATTTTGACCCATACAATGTATTTTTGGCTATTGCTACAAATATACCCCAGCGACTTAAGACTGCTTTTGTGCTCCAGGGTCACATTTGTTGTTTTAACGTAATGAAGTGAGACGTAGCGCACAAAGTCATTTCACTGAGTTTGAGCGCCAAAATACTCACAGGGAAGCAAAGATTAGCTTTCTGCCTCAGAAAAACATATCAAAATAGAAAATATTAGATTTTTACCAGTGCTAATGGCACACCTGCTGAGACGAAAGCAGGCTCCGGTTGTGTCCGCTTGAGAGATATAGAAGACGACGGAGACACAGAGGATCATTTTTCAGTGTCAATAAATGAACACTCAAGTGAAAGTGCAGAAAGGCATTTTAAAAATGTTCGGATTCAAGAGTTTGCATGGCTCAGGTATGATCATCGCACACATATTTTATTAATATTTTGAATCAGTTTTTTTAACGTTTTACTTTTAATTTTAGTAAACGTAAATTTTGTTTTTGTCATTTTTAATAATTTTTATGTTTTTTTTTATGTCGTTTGTATTTTTTTTTTATTTCTTCAGTTATAGTTATATTTTAATACAGTAACTTAAAATGAGAAATGTTGCCTTGGCAACTACCTGAAATAAAAAAAATTCATTTTCAGTTAACATTTATTTTATTTCAAGTAACAAAAATGTTTTTAATGGTTTCTAGTTTCTGTTTTATATTTTTAAAACCAAAGACCCTGCAAAACTCATAGTAAAATTAAAAGTGCACCTCAGGAAACATTCTAAAATAAAACAAAAATGCAATTCATGACTGCTTTAATCTAATATGCAGTGCATGCAACTACTGATGGTAGAGCAGACAGTGAAGCACACTGGATCCACTGCGATTACTGTTTCAGATTTACAGTACCTGGAAGCTGAATGGAAAAATTTACATTTCACTGCCATCCTTTTAACCATGTGACAGTCAGAACTTCAGATTTTGCCAGGAGCTGCAAATACTTACTAATGTGTAAACACGTCCAGGTGGCCGGAGAGTCCAGTTTAACCCAGCTGTGTGAGGCCTTGAGGAGATACAGCGACCGAGAGAGTTTCATACGGGAGGTTCTTGCACATCTCTACAGTCACACCAGTGACATGGAAGAACCTCAGCCACACATTTTAAAGGTACGAAAATGTCTTCTCTAGCAGATGATAATCTGATGATCTGTAGCTGTGAACTAAAAATGACAAGGTTTGGCTGGTTTGTTACTAGGATCAGTGAAATATGAGTGTCAGTGATAAAGAAACAGAAAAATCTAGTTTAAAACTTTCTGAGAAATGCACGTTTTTGTAGTTATGTTGGTTTCAAATAATTTTTTTAATACCATTTTCACGAAAAAAGTTTGCAATATTTGAAAAAAAGTGCGGTAAAACGGACAATTCTTGAATCTTGAATACATGCAAGTTTACACATCTTGATCATTATTTTCAAAATATTAAGTTTTTTTTTTTTTTATATATCATGAATTCATAAATATCCTCACATTTTTGAAGCGTCACACCACATGACAACCTGAACTCACCTTGCCTTGTCATAAAAAGGTCAAATTATCTGATATTGACATTCATACACAGTCATGAGGGTTTGCATGAGTGTTGTTTATGATGGTTTTGTTTTGTTGTTTTCTGTATGTGGTTGCACCACATGAGTTTGTTGGTCGCACCATGTGACTTTGATTTGGCAGACAACAGTTTCTGAAATATTAATAAGCAGTGAAGCAGTTTTGTCAAAATATTTATTTTTCTATGAACTAAATAAGGTTTTCTTTTCAAGTATTTAAGTTTTTAATGAGGCTTTTTTCTTCTTCAAATTCGATCAACAATTTCTTTCAGAAATGAATGCACATCATATAGAAGAGGTTTGTCTGAAGCCATTCTATGTATGAATTGAATTGAATTTTATTGTTTTGAATAAATGAATAGATTCAGATAAAAATGAGTTTCATGCCATTGACCCGCTAGATTTTTGACACCACTAATTTTGTGTTGAGACATGCAAATAACTAACTGTAAGGGAAGTTTTTAAGATGGCATAGTTTAAATTACATCATAAACAATGCCCTAAAACTTCCCTTTATCGTAAAAGATCTTGGCTCTTTTTAAAAACGCATTGTTGTAGTGTGCTGCATGACATTTACATACAATGTCCAATGTGTCTGTTCCTGTTTCAGCTGGTATTGGCTGGAATGCGACACCACACTGATTCTCTGCACGTTCAGCTTGTGGCCTCTGCGTGTGTGTTTAACCTGACCGTACAGGAGCTGGTGCTGGGGATGCCCTTACGCCTGCTGGGAAATGTAGTTCAGCAGCTTCTTGCAGCCATGAAGAACTTCCCAAACCACGAGCAGGTATATCCATCCGAAATGGTTTGCACGATAAAGATTAAAGGGATGGTTCACCCAAAAATGAGAATTCTCTCATCATTTACCTCTATGAGTTTCTTTCTTCTGTTGAACACAAGAGAAGATATTTTGAAGAATGTTGGTAACCAAACAGCTGCTGGTGTCCACTGACTTCCACAGTATGTCTTTTTCCTCTATGGTCCTAGTACCCATATTTAAACCATTTTCTTTCTGCTTTTAGTTGCAGAAGAATTGCCTGCTTACTCTTTGCAGTGATCATATCTTACAGGTCGTCCCATTTGACAGGTCAGTCCACACACATTTCCTCAGTGCACTTGTTACTGTACATTGTTGGAGTGGCTTAACGCCGTCTTGACCCCTGTTCATCTATGCACAATCAGCTTGTAACACTCCAAAGAGAAAGGAAAACTTGAAATCGCATCATACGACCCCTTTAAATGAATTCAAAAGTACTGTAAAAAGAAAAAAAACTAGTATTCATGTAATAAAAAAGTAGTGAGTGACGTATATGCAATATGCAAATATATCGCCATGGACTTTTAAGATCTGCTTATGTGAAACAAAAATCGATTATATCATTTTCATCTTTGGGACATTATTAATGAGTAAAAGGCTCTCTCACACTTCATTGCAGTTGAGCACAGAAGAGATCGCAGAATTGGGAGCAGAGGCGTTTATAATGAAGGTAAATGCTTTTTTTTTTTTTTTTACACAAGGGGTTTTATTTGCTGTTGCTGTTTTTAAACATAGTGCTGTGCTGAAAATCCTTTACCTAACTGGTCAAAAATGACCGGCCTTTTATCTCTAATGACGAAAATCTTGATTAAAAAGATTGAATCCAATATTTGGTAATAATATAGCATAAGATATTTATTAGCAATTTTTTGTAGACTGGTCATTTTTGACTGTTGACGTCGCAAGTATAACAAGGGGAAAAAAATCCTCAAAAAAAGTACAAAAACTATCAAAAAAAAGAAAAAAAACCTTGGAAGTTCATATACCATGTGTGAGCAAAAATCAGTAGATTTTAGTCCAATGCAATAATATTACCTAGCATTTCTGGGAAAGAGAAAATCCTCTCCGGGTCAAAATGACCAGAACACAGCGTGAGGGTTAAATGGTAATCAAAATCAGAGTTTGTGGTTTTTAGTTCATGTCTGTTAGCTTTAAAGCCATCTCAATACTAGTGTATCCCAGGAAGCTGACAAAATAGCTCAGAAAATATATGCATTTTACAGTCTTTCTCATAAGGTTAAATCGACCAAACATATTCAGGACTTGTACACAGTGTCAAATAAAATTGTTCGTCCAATAAAATATCGAATGGGAAAGTCCCTCCACCTAATACTGCCTGTCTATTAATAGCAAATAGAAAGTCATCCCAGACTGTAATGCAATCTTAAGTTATTAAAAAAAGCACAGGCATTTAATAAGTCCCACCCCATTTATTTCAGCAAATACATCAGCACAGGTTCTTCAAACCATTTTTAACATGGCCTCACGCTACCATACTGTCACATGCAGTGTGTTCTCTCCGCTCCCTAAAAGTATTATAGGATATGTGAATGGTTAATGATTCTATTGTAAATGACTGAATGGACAGATGAGTAGACCAAACCAATGCATTTATTCTCCTCTCTGTGGAAGTAAAGCAGTTGCTGAGTATCGTCCAGCAGAAGGCCTCTCTGGGTGTAGTGGACTCCACTCTGAAGTTTGCATTGAGTGCTCTGTGGAACTTGACAGATGAGACGCCCACCGCGTGTCGCCATTTCATTCAGTGCCAAGGAATAGAGCTCTACATGGAGCTGCTGGAGGTGAACACACACACACACATAGCTAAAGGCTGGAATATACTACACTACATTTTTGCCAGATTTGAGATTTCATAGAAAATCGTGTAGTGTATGATGGACAGTGGACACAGACTCTGATTCCATCCATTCAAGGGATATCAAACGCTTTATATTTTGAGCCCATTTTAGAACACATATTGTCATGCTTAAAAAACTGCCCTTATATTGTTTACATTTGTCATGTGTCTAGTAGCAGCAAGGCACGTGTTTCTCAGAGCTGTTGAAAAAGAGAGTTGTGACCATAGATATATATAAGTAGATGCCTCATTCGACAGCTCCAAGCACGTAGATGCACGTCCGCCATCTTTAACGGTCAACTTGACGTCATTCACCATAATAATCAATTAATATTTGAAGACGCCACAATCCTGCACAGCCGATGGTTGTCAAAACTGCCGGGATTTAAATTCCCGAAGAAACAAGATAACCTTTCACAGGTGAGAATGCGAGAGAGGGGCGGAACCATAGATATGTAAGGATTGTGGCATCTTCGAATATTCATTGATTATTATGGTGAATGACATCAAGTTGACCCTTCCAATATGGAGGACGGCTTACGTATAGTGGCCCATAGAAACAGTCTTTTTTGTTGTGTTCAGAACAAGTTTAAAGTTCGGTAGTGTGTGATCTGCAGTCGTTTAGTGCACGATCCCCAATTTTTCATCTGTAACTTATTTACAAAGTCAGCAGGTGATGTCTGGTGTTTTAAAATCTCTTCAGACTTTAAAAGTCGTGTAGTGTAGTCTAGCCTTTACATGCACAGTTTGGCACATCTGAAGTTTAAACAATAGCAATTTAAACAAAGATTCTTGCACTTAAAGGGATAGTTCATCCAAAAAAATTTTTTATTTTTAATTTTCTCACCCTCATGTCATTCCAGACCAGTATGACTTTATTTATTCTGTGAAACACTAAAGAAGATATTTTGAATAATGTTAGTAACCAAACCATTTCAGTTACCATTGACTTCCATTGTATGGACTGAGACATTTATTAAAATATCTTCCTTTTGTGTTCCACAGAAGACAAGGTTTGGAATGACATGAGGTCGAGTAATTGGTCACAGAATTAAAATTTTTGGGTGAACTATCCCTTTAAGTGGTTGTTAATTACCTGTATCTTCTCATCACTCTCTTCTCTTCTCCTCCACAGTCTTATTATTCCGAGTCCTCCATCCAGCAAAAGCTCCTGGGCCTTTTGGTAAATGTGTTTTATGTGTTATATGTTTGGTAAATGTATTTTTTTACCATGTTATATGGTAAAATTGGTGGAAAGTAATAGATTAATTACAAAGTAAACGCCTCACCCACTCTGACATGACCACTTTTGGTCACATACAAGTCTAAATTGACTTAAAATGACTCATCATGCAGTGTTGAGCAAGATGAACAATAGTTAATTGTAACAAATAAAGTATCATGAGTTACTCAGAATATGCTTTTTACAGTTTTATTGTAGTTATTCGTTTTGAAGTCATTTTAAAAATGTTTAGAAATGCATAAATGTGATAAAACATTGTAGTATGGTATGTTAATATTGTAGTATTGGTTGCTTGTTGATAGTGTAAGGTAAGTGGTACAGTGGAGATCAAAATTAGAGAACAACCTACAATTTCCTACATTTCAAAGTCACTGCTTGGGCCTATTTAAAATTATCCTAACAGGAGTAGAAGGGCAGTTTTTTAAGCATATTTCATAAATTAATTGTATTCTGAAGCACAGTATAAAAAGCTTAAAGGGGTCATATGATGCGATTTCAATTTTTCTTTTCTCTTTGGAGTGTTACAAGCTCTTGGTGCATAAAGAAGATCTGTAAAGTTGCAAAGACTAAAGTCTCAAATCCAAAGAGATATTCTTTATAAAAGTTAAGAGTCAGCCACGCCTACCTAAAACGGCTCATTCGAACACGCCCCCACATATCTACGTCACGATGTGGGAAGATTTGCATAACACCGCCCAAATGTTCACGCAAAGAAAGAAAGCGTAACTTTTATTCTCGCTGTAGTATTGTTGCCGCCGCCGCCATGTCGAGAAGGCGCTGTGTGTTTCGTTGTGAAAGCGAAACTACTTTGTTTGGCCTTCCAAAAGAGGACGATATCCGAAATCAGTGGTTAAGTTGTATTTACAACACTGTTCCAGAACACTTCAACCAAATATTCAGATGTGTGCAGTGCATTTTATGGAGGAC